AGACCTACTGGAGAATGGACTTGAGGATATGGGGAGGGGGAAGGGTAAGCTGTGACAAAGCGAGAAAAAAGAAAAAACAAAAAGAAAACAAAAGTACATCCAACAAAAGAAAAAATTGTGATCAATTTTTAAAACTTTTGTGCTTCAAAGGACATCATCAAAAAAGTGAAAAGACAACCCTTGGAACAGGAAAATTTCTGCAAGTCATATGTCTGATAAGGGTCTTGTACGTAGACTATATAAAAATTTATACAACTAGAGAATTTTTTAATTGTAATGGGTAATGGATATTAATAGACATTTCCTCAAAGAAGTTATACAAATGGCCAATAAGCACATGATAAGATGCTCAACATCACCAGTAATCAGGGAAATGCAAATCAAAATCACAACGAGATACCACTTCTGTATTAGCCATGTCTTTTATTTCCTGTATTCTGATGCTTTGACATCTGGGGCCTTGGTGACCCCCGGAGACACAGCACCCACCACCTTGGGGTTAGCTAATTCCTAGAGATAGGAAACAACTCACTTGCTAGAACGTTTTATATATGCAAACCATCCAATCTAGAGCCCATACCCCCAACCACCTTCTTTATGGGGCTCTCACTCTCTGACTACCATCTATATACCCTGATCACCGAAGCCAGGTATCAGAAAACTAGGGACAGTTCCTATGCCCCAGAGCCTGCTGAAATTATTCAAACTAGTCCATCCTAAACCTGCTTATTACTTTGCGTGGCCCAGTCCTTCCTGCAGACACCACAGAAAAGGCTCTTGCCCACACTTCCCCCCTACTTCCTTTGCCTCCTTGACCCTGGTGCTTCCTCATGTGGCTTTGGGCCATGCCTCCTGTTTCTAGGGATCCTTCACAACGTTTCCATGTCTGGGTGTCTTACCATACCTGATTAAAACAAATCCCAGGTACCCATAAAACAACTTCACACCCACTAGGATGGCTATAATCAAAAAGACAGATGATAACAAGCGTCAGAGAGGATGTGGAGAAATTGTAACCCTCATACACTGCTGATGGAAATGTAAAAGAACGCAGCCATTTGGGGAAAATGCTTGGTAGCTTCTCAAATGGCTAAACATTTCCACCCACATTATTTATGCCCTAAGACCCATCATATTACACCCACTGCTATTCAATTAAGCTTCATACTCTACTGTGTAGTCTACACATAAAAAGTTACAGAAATTCCAATGCTTGTTGTGCACAAAGGGTTTAAAGAAAAAAATATAATCAGCTATAAATTCACTATTTTGAGCAAACAGATATTCTAAACCAAATATGCTATTGGTGGTTAAATTTCCAGTCTATGAAAAATGGTGAGAAATAATCATTAAACTATCTAACAAACCAATTATATTTTCAAACACAATTATTTACCATTACTGTAAAAAATTAAGTAGCTCTATACCTTTTTCTCCTTAGACTTCTGTGCAGTATGAGAAGTGACATTCTCATTTTGGTGAACAAACTCTTGTGCTACCACTGTTTTTACAGGGTCTCCTTCAAGAACACAATTTAGAAATTGCACTGTGTGTTCTAACGAATAGCTGTAGAGAGTTGAAGTACAAATATGAGGTCAATAAATGAAAATAAAAGTTATGTGGAAACATTAACATAAGCAATCTTACAAAATCTTAGAAGAATATGAAAAATTGGCTCACTTCTGAGTTTTAAACATGAAAATTAAATGCTCATTGTGTATCTCAAGACTCAAGAATGAACAGAGGGAAAGTGTCAAGTTAGAGACTCTCAAAAACTAATTTTTTAAATGAATACCGAAAAGTAACATATTGATAATTAATTCATTTTCTTATCTTTTATTCCAGGTAAATTTTCCACAAATCTTTCTTTCATCTTATCACCTATACTTAAGTCCCTTGTTGGATTCACACATGGTTTCAGTTTCCTTCAAACATCAAAAACAGACAATAAATCCTTAAACTGACATTCTTATCCTGTCAAATTTTACATTTTACTTATACCATGGCGTTCTAGTCAAAGAAATTCTAAGCAGGGATATAGAAAGGAAAAACTAAAACACTACCCTACCTCCCACCCCTACATTATTTAGGCATATTTTCATGGTGATACTATATTATGTGGAATATGAAATTCTACAAAAATTGACAAACATCTGAAACGCTAATGTCCCTGTATCCAAAAAAACTCATTCCAAAGAAAATTATAAATGATTTTATACTGCTCATTATTTCAGACTATTTATGCCTCTGATCTTTTCCAATGGCCAGATAATGAAGAGCTGACCACAAAGGACTGTTTTTGAAATGTGACAGCTATCTAAAATACTGTGATATTTTGCTATTCATCAATTTATTAAAGACAACCCTTGAAGGGGAACCATTTGGGACTACCAATTCTCCTTGAGCACTCTCATCTTGCCGCCTCACATATGCTCAACAAATTGGGGTTTCTAGGGGCTAGAAACTACCAGAAATTAACCACATCCTAACTAGTTCTTAAAATCACCTGGCTTGCCCACTCCTAGGGCCGGAAGCCAGTCTCCACCACAGGCGCTGTTAGCAGTGCGTGGCCCTGGAAGATGACACTGCAGGCGTATACTGCAGTAACTGAACAAACCTACCCTTCTTACCCGGGGTGAAACTGAAGCTACTGGTAACTGAGACAATTATCCACCTGTTGGCAGACAAATGGAGGTAATCATTTAATACCATAATACCTGCCCCGAGGGGCCTGACTGACCAATCACTCTGAGCATCGAGAGGAAGGACTCAACTCAGTCCCCTTACCTTGCCTGGGGAACCACAACTCTGGGTAATTTCACATCAGGGCTTCTTGCCCTAGGTCCCCATAGAAGAGAGTTGCCACATGCCAGCATCACCCTCCTAACCCCTAGTGGCTTGGGATATTTTAACACACAACTCTAAGAAGCTGTTTAGGTAGCAAAAATAAATAGAAAAATTGTGGATTGAAATAATACCATGAAAAACTTGATTCAAGTGACATATTTAGAACTCTGCATACTCAGCAGAGAATATTGTTTTTCAAAAGCACTTTCAGGGGCTTTCCTGGTGGTCCAGTGGTTGCGAATCCACCTTCCAATGCAGGGGACATGGGTTCAATCTCTGGTTGGGAACTAAGATGCCATAGGCCACAGGGCAACTAAGCCCACGTGCCGCAACTACTGAGCCTGCGCACTCTGCAGCCCGTAAGCCAGAACTAGAGAGAAGTCAGCATGCTGCAATGAAAGATCCCGCATGCCACAACTAAGACACGAAGAAGCCAAATAAATAAGTAAATAAATAAATATTTTTTAAAAGAGGCACTTTGTGCAATATTTATAATAACTGATCATGTATTAAACCACAAAGGAAATCTCAACTTCCAAAAAGCAGGACTCTTTCAGGCTGGATTCTTATACCCCAACACAAAAAAACAAAGAGTAATCCCCCCCCCCCACCAAACTATCAAACCATTTAGAAAATATAAAACTCTTGGATAAATTAGAAAGTCAAAGTGAATTAGAGATTATTTAGAAAAAAAATGAAAATACTACATATCAAAATCAAAACATTACATATATATCAAAAACATTACACAGAAAAAAATTCACACCCTTAAGTATATTTGTTATTAAAGATTGAAAGGAAACAAACTAACCAAAGAATTGAAAACATAACAAATTTAAAGAGAAAGGAACCATCAAAAATAGAAAAGAATCACCAAAAATAAATGATTAGAGAAATAAAACAGACTTTGATCAATAAACCAAGAGCCTGTTCTTTAAAAGGGTCAATCTGATAAACAGCAATAACAAAGAAAATAGAAAAAAAACATTAGGAAAGGAAAAAAGGACATGATAAATACAAAATAATGTTTTAATTATCACAGAATATTATATACAACTTAACAATAATAAACCTAATGATTTTCTAGAAGACAAACTACCAGAAAAGACTCATGGAAAAAAAAGCAAACAACTGGGCTTCCCTGGTGGCGCAGTGGTTGAGAGTCCGCCTGCCGATGCAGGGGACACGGGTTCGTGCCCCGGTCCGGGAAGATCCCACATGCCGGGAGCGCCTGGGCCCGTGAGCCATGGCCGCTGAGCCTGCGCGTCCGGAGCCTGTGCTCCGCAACGGGAGAGGCCACAACAGTGAGAGGCCCACGTACCGCAAAAAAAAAAAGCAAACATCTGAATAAAGCAATACCCCTAAAAAGATAGTGAAAATACCTTCTCCCTAAAGAAAAGCGAAGAGACCTTCCCCCTAAAAAGGCACAACCCCAGAACCTTCAAGGTACTAATTTATTTAAACTTTCCAGGGCACAGAGAAAAATGGCAGTCTTGCCAGGTTCTTTTATTAAGCCAAACACCAAATTAACCCCTAAAACCAAAATCTGACAAAGATAACACAGGAACAGAATATCACAGACTTATCTCATTTAACTACTGTTGCAAAAATCCTGAAATCAATTCCGACACTACATTAAAGGAAAAAAACAAAACCTGAAAGATTTTTTTACTCCAGAAATTACTGTGACTAACATGAAATATACTAATAAACTAAAGAAAAAAAATCTATATTGGATTCTCCAAAGATTCTAAAAAGGCATCTATTTAAAACAACTCTTGCTAAAATAGGAATTTAAGGAATACATTAAGATCGAAAGTATGTATTACTCAAACCAGAAGCATTCCTAACATACTAAGCATCAAAACACACTACAACACCACAATAACTAAAAAAAGATGGTGGAAACTTAGGACCAAATAGCTCAATGGAATCAAAGAGTCTATAAAAGAAAATGTATATTTGAGAATGTAGTAAATATTAGTAATTATATTTTATATCAGTGGGTAAAGGTGACCTATTCATCCAGTTAATCATTTGGAGAAAACAATTAAGTTAAACTCTACTTCATACCATACACATAAAAATGCTAGATAAACTTTTTAAATTTAACTATTAAAAATACTGCAGAGGGCTTCCCTGGTGGTGCAGTGGTTGAGAGTCCGCCTGCCGATGCAGGGGATACGGGTTTGTGCCCCAGTCCGGGAAGAACCCACATGCTGCGGAGCGGCTGGGCCCGTGAGCCATGGCTGCTGAGCCTGTGCGTCTGGAGCCTGTGCTCCGCAACGGGAGAGGCCACAACAGTGAGATGCCCACGTAACGCAAAAAAAAAAAAAAAAAAAAAAATTTACTGCAGAAAATATTTTCATAATATTGGGGTAGGACAGATTTTCTTAAAAAGTGATAAAACTCAGAACCAATAAGGGAAAAGACTTTCTGATAAAACATGAATTAAAATATGTATATGGCTATATCAGAAAAAATTACTATAATCTATATTAACAAAGATAACTACACATGATATATAAAGAGCTCTCACAGATCTAGAAAGAAATACAAACAGTCAAAAGGAAGACAGGCAAAGGGTAAGCAATTAATAGAAAAAGAAATTAATGGAAAAAAAGCTCAACCTCAGTAGTAATAAGGAAAATAAAAGTTTAAACAGCAATGAAATATTTTTCGCACCAGACTGGCAAAAAATTTAAAGATTCTTAATATCCAGGGCAGGTTACGCTATCAGCGCATATAACTAATATGGAAAGCCCTTTTAAAAGGAAATTTGGCATTAGCTGTAAAAAAATTTAATATACACACTCTGGACCAGCAATTTCACTTTTAGGAACTAGCCTACAATAACATTCATCCATGCACACAAAAATGTATGTTCAAGGATACTCAGTGCAACATGGTTTCCAACTTTTCTTACAGTCAAAAAGCCCATAAACAGAGCATGTTTAAATAAACTACGGTACTTTAAGAAATCACTTAAGAATACTATGGAATACTCTGTAGACTTTAAAAAGAAAAGAGTAGATCACAAAGTATGGACAGAAAAAATAAATAACAGTAAAACTACAAAATAGTACATAAAACACAACCTATTTTTGTGTTTATATAGACACAAAAGCAAATAGGTACACGTGTACACACATACATTAGTGTATGTATATGAGAAAAAACTGAGGAGGAATATGAACCAATTGACAGAAACTCCTCACTTTCTACATTATTGCATTTAAATGGTTTATAATATACCTACATTATTTTTGTTAACAGAAAAATAAAAATAAGAGATTAAAATGCATGACATATGCTTTCAATCACATCACAACAGAAACTACACACAATCCTTCTAGCACTCACTTGTGGTCCTTGAAAATGTCCACCAGAAAATTTTGGTTAATGGCTGGAAATATCTTAAAGAGCTGCTTCTCCTTTAGTTTAGTGGCACAATCTTTTTCAAATATAAGCGGCTCCCTTCTCTAAAACAAACAAAAAAAAGACAAAAACCATCTTTATGATGGAATTTACAATACTAGTTATGCTGACCCAAAAGCATGGTTATTTTATTGCAAAAAGACTAATAATTTAAAAGCAGTCACAGACTTTCTTCACTGATTAAAGGCTGAAATTAGTAATATAAGTATTCTTGCACAATTTATTTATATCCCATTTTTTGCTAAGTATTTGAAGCTGTTCATTAACACACACACACATACACACAATCACACATATACATATATGTGTGTGCATGTGTATATATACTCTCACATATATACACCCAACACATTCAATCATATTATACAAAAAAGGATATATATATATATATATATATATATATATATATAAACAGGATATAAATAAATGAAGTCAGAGAGTAGAGAAAATAAAGGTAAGAATATAGGATAAAGCTAGCAAGTAAAATTAGTATATAAATGCATGCCACAAAATCCTGTACAATTGCTAAAGGTGGGCCACAAATTCAGTTCTTAGCTTCTTAGTGGCCAAAGCAAAGGGGGAAACAAAGATTCTCAGTGTCCATAAAATAAAAACAAACCAGTTGCTCAGGAGAAGTACAGCTTTTTCTGGTACTGAGACCTGAGAGAAATTTCTCCCATGGGTCCTCATTAAAGGGACACTGTGTGATGCTGTGAACAACGTCCTCAAAAACATATTCTCCTCAATGGGCAGAAACTACAATGTACAAATAAGTTGCAAATTCAGGTTGACAGAAAATCTTAAAATTCACATAAAAAAAATTTTTTCACAAACATATTTACTCCAAAGTAATTGCATGAGATTTGTTACTAATTGTTATTTTTTCAAAGTCATATTTGGATTGTTTAAATAGCCAAACCGAAAGAGCTTTCCTAAAATGTGCCATGTGAATTCTAATTGAGGAATATGGTAATCATTCTTAAAGTGATTTCTAACTCTAAGACAATTTACTGACATTGTGATTTAGCTATGTAATATTTTTGTTTATTCCAAAAATCCTAATGTCTGAAAAATAACTTCCTATAAAATTTCAAAGGTGTCTCTGAAAATATAAAAATTACAATAATTTAGGAAAATCCTGGAATAGTTAATGGCTTTGAAGCCTAACCATATTTAGGCCATTTATAACACCAAACAACAATAAAAAAAGTACCACAATAGGTGACAATCTGACCAGTAAAAAGGACTGATCAGACATCACAAGAGTGATGAAAACAAGCCACCTCAAGAATTTTAAATATTCACGTCTTATTTAAGATATACATTATAATCCGACCTTACTAAAAAATTCAGTGATCAGATTTACTAGCAATCTGCCAGATCATAGAGTTTCTAAACTACAAATTCTAAGGTCCCATCAATAAACTGAAAACTCATAACTGTAATCATGTTACAATTAATTATCCTATTCATACATTATGCCTAATGCTTACTTTATATGCTTTGCTTTAGAAGAATTTAAATGATATTTCTCCTTTGGGAAATTCTCTTACTGAGAAATTTCTCCAGAAATTCTCTTAACTGAGGCTCTAAGGGGGAATACCCTCGGGATGAAGAGTACAGCTTCTATTACCAAACCCATGGGAAAAAAAGCAAAAATCACTGATAGGAGGAAAAAAAAAAAAAAATTAAGTTGGAAAGTCAAAGAAACTTTTTTGTTCATTATTATACTAAGAGATTAAAAGGCAGGTTAGAACCATAAAGATAAGTTTCAGTAGAGGAAAATGGCATTTCAACAAAAAGTGTCACACCATTTGAGCATAAGTTCTAGGCTTTCCTTATTTTTTAAGAAAATCTATTTCTCCAATTTATTACATATGTAAATTGAAGAAGATATCTGAAACAACACTAAATTATAAGATCCTACTGAAGAGATTGTTCTTTGGATTATGTAAACATGCAAAGATGGTAATGGTAGCTTATTTCCAACTTAATTAACAAGATAACTGGGGGAAATAAATATGAAGGTAGAAGCCCCAATTCTATGTATTTCAGCCAATATAAAGGTGTTCCTTTGAGCAGTCAAATGAGTGAAAAAAGAGGGTAAAATGCTTTAAGATCACCAACTAAGAAATTTTTTTTCCTTGAGAATTGGACTAAATAACCTCTAAGGTCTTTTCCGTTTTGGTTCTGAAATTCTCTAATACTAATTTTCAGAATTCCAAAAAACGTTAAGAAAAAGAAATGCAAAATAAACAAAATTCTCTTACGGCTTCATATCATATAATTAGATATGTTGAATAAGGAACAAAAATTAAGTTCAAAGCAAAGTGAAATATCTGTTTGAACTTGTTTAATTGCAAAGTTAGATAAAAAAGAAGAGTACTTAATTTCAGATTCATAAGTTTCTAAAATTTTTCTCTAAAAAAATTTTGTTTCAAAGATGGACAATTCTTTAATAGCAAGTGTCATTTCTTATTACTAACTTATAAATGAAATTATCTTCAAAGGAAATATTCTTTCATGTTTTTCTAGAATTAAAAACCTGCAGAAGTAAATGTTAAAGATAAGATATATACACCTGCAAAATTAAATCTAAAACAACAGATTTAACATAAATTGGCTTACTGTTATAGAATATCAACTAATTTTCCAGAAGCAAAGACCTCCAACTTCAAACTACATTTAAAACATTTTTCGATTTTAACATTAACTTCAATCAGGTTAAAATATGATTTCAGACTAGGAAAAGTAGAATCAAATGAAAATCAAAAAGTAAACATATGATTAAATTAGAGTCAGAGACAAAGGCTTAATATTTATACTAACTCATACCAAATCATGCTTTTCCTGTAAGGCAATTTCTTCTGACATTATTTCTCTGAGTGATACTTTTTTAGTATGAGTGTTCCAATGATCCAATAAGGGTTGCATTTCAGGTGCTGCTAAAGTCTTCAGTAATTTTTTGCCCGTTCTCTGAGATGATTTTTGTTCTGGATTATCAAGACCAACACGCCCAACCAGGGAAGGATCTACAAAAGCAGTATCAATAGTGTCAGACCATCAACAATAAATGTACAAATTAGGCATTATTCATTCTGTTACATCTACCTCAGAGAGACCCAGAAAACATGATTTTTTACTCTTTGCTTATAAATACAATATTCCAAGTTGTATTTCAAAGTTTCAAAGTACATCTTCACATAATCGCAAGCAAGTATAAATGTAGAAATATTCAAATGAACAATGATCTGGGTATTACTGTAAATCAACTCAATGCTTCCCCACTCTTTTTCATATCACATCAACACAGAGAAAACAGTGACACACATATACACTGGTAAACAGAGGAAGCTGCAGCCAGCCGGAAGTGAGCAGCTTTGGTCAGCTCTGCTTGGCCGCTCCAAGAACTGAAAGGATGAATATTTCTGCAAATCTGTAACCCACTGGAGGTCTACAATAAATACTGAACAAATGATATTCAACATAAGGAAGGAACTAAACATTCTAAGAAGTTCATAATAACAAGACTTAATGTATAATATTTCAGCTTTTCTAAGCACCACATTCTGATACACTCCTTTGATTTCCTGGAGAGTTAAGAAATAGCAAATACTGTCATCTGAATAACTCTGATACTCTTTGGAAGCCTCCAGCTCTCAAACAGCTTTAGCTCTTGAAGCTACAACACGGGTCTGAACTAAAGTTAAGAATCTTCATTCTCATAATCTTCAACCTGGAGTCCTAGTATGGAGTGGACAAGAGAGGCATCTGGAGGAACTCAGGCACAAAAGGAGGACCCTGTAACAGGTCTGCCACCCTGCACTAACTACTTACGACAATGCTATCTAAGAAATCTTCTGGAATCAATTATTTTCAATTTGGCAGATGTAATCAAAAAGCAGGTTGACTTTTGTGCTCTAATTATATTAACATCAATAAAAAATTTGAAAAATCAAGTAATATTTCAATGATACTCTCAAACACAGGAATACTTTATTGCTCTCAAACCAGAACAGTTTCCCTTCATTCAGAGCAAAATCATAAACAGGAAACACCCTGACTATGTGCATTAGAGCACACCTTGGGTGTTCCACAGCACTCCTGTTTGTTTTTTTTTAATTGAAATATAGTTGATTTATAATGTTGTGTTAGTTTTCAGGTGTTAACTGAAAGTTAAATGATATTATAGGGCCTTTTTTCTTCTTTAAGCTTTATTTTCTTTTGTATCAATATTAAATGTTAAAACTTTTATTTGCAAATCAAAATTCTTGGGTAACATATTTTGTGGAAGTATATTTAAAATGAGTTAAGATTCAGGGACTTCCCTGGCCTGCTCCCAGTGCAGGGGGGCCCGGGTTCGATCCCTGGTCAGGGACCTAGATCCCGCATGCTACAGCTAAGAGCCTGCATGCCACAACTAAAAGACCCCTCACGCCGCAACTAAAGATCCTGCACACCTCAACAAAGATCCCACACGCGGCAATGAAGATCCCACATGCCACAACTAAGACCTGGCGCAGCCAAATAAATAAACGCTTAAAAAAAAAAGAGAGTTAAAATTCACACACACACACACACCAAGTTTCAACATCAAGACAAGAACATTAGAAGTGAAAATATGTGCTTTACCTTGCATTAATTTGCCACAGGATACCTCTTCTTGTCTTTGTCGCTCCTAAACACAGAGGCAGAACAGGATTGGCAAAGCAGGGTGCATTAGAAAACAAGCTTATATTATTTTTCTCTAGTAATCATTTCTCCCTGTAAAACTATCAATCATTCTTGCTAAATCTAATAAAAGCAGATAAATATAATTATAAATTGATTCCATCTATATATTTTTTCTACTTATAGAGCTCTTATGCTGTGATTTTTTAAAAACTGTTTATGAAAATTAGCACTGCAAGTCTTTAAGGAGTAAAAAACTATTTATGATTTTTTTCCATTAAAAAAAAAATCAACAGTCATATTGAGCTCCATCATTAATTATATAATTTGGCCAGTCTGGAAATAATCTAAAATACTGCAAGGAGAAAAAAAAAATCAGTAACCTGTTAACTGGTAAAATTAATTCTCTCTCAAAGTCAAAATTCAATAGAATCTTTCATATAACAGATTTTATTGAAGAGCAAAGGTGACAAAATGTACACAAAAGGAGCTTTCTATAAAAAGAAGCCTACCAACCATTACAGATTCTTTCCATTTTTCATGAATCACTTTAGCCAGATTCAGATCTATATGAACCACACAGTCCTCAACTGTTAGGGACCCTTGTGACGGGGGGAAGAAAAGAAAAGAAAATATGATCATTACTCATTATACATTTGCAGAAAACATACTCAACTACCTTATGCATCATAAAACTAATTTGTATTTTTAATTACTAACCTATGTCTCTAGTTCTAAATCTCTTGGAATATTTTTATGTAATATATCATTGTTTTCACACTTCTTGGCAGGTACAATTATGTTTCATATATTTAAGTTATTCATGTCCATTACACTAAATATATTTAATATATTCATTTCCATTAGTCAAGACTTTCCAGTAGGCGTATTCTAAGGAATTATCTTGCCTTAAGTGTATCTGGAGTAGCAGCAAAGGATTCAAAAAGATGTATCTGTGCAAATAAGTATGAGGTAAATACCAGAGAAAACTTCCAGTATATGCACAAGATGAATACAAAGTCCATCTAAATACTCTCTATTTCTTCAAATTATATACTTAAAAATCTTCTACAAACACACTGTGTCAAAAATAATAAGGTAGGCAACACAAATTACTTTTACACTTCTAGTAACATAAAAAAATTTTTAAATTGAACTAGACCCTCTATCTATATTCTACTTACACAAAGATATACATATAAGTAATTTACTTTTTCCTTACCTGAATCAATACCAACAGGGCCAAATAATTCATTGAGCTGAAAAGCCAGTTCAGGGGGCAATGCCAATTCCAGGCAGTCTATGGTCAGCGATTTGGCCATCACTGGCGTGGGATTCAACGTCTCAGTTTTATCTTCTTCAGTAACTTCAGCTGACAAAGCACTCCCTGCCATTAGAATTTTTTCCACTTCCTGTTCATCTTCATTCATAAATTCTTCTGTGTTTGGAAATTTCACATAATCCTTTGGAAGATTTTCACTTTTATTTATGTCAAAAGAGTCAGTAAAATAAATTTCTTCATGTAATTCAAGATCCGAAGTGCTCGACACAGAATTTAAAATATCAGACAAATTCAAAGAAGAATTTATACTGTCTCCAATCTCAGTGACTTCTGGATTCTTCTCCATTTCACTCACATTTTTAGTGGTAGTAGCTTTTAGAGTGCCTGGAAAAAGCTGCTTAACATTATATAAACCTGAAAGTTCTGCCTGACTATTAGGAAGTACTTCATTATTATTCTTGAGATCTACATTAGGAAATATACCTGTTATTAATCCAGGTTTTTCAGTAGTTACAGCTCTTATTTCTGCCTGCTCTAAGCTTTCCTTTTCTGAATTACAGGTGGACTGTACATTAGTGTTACTGATACCAATTCCATGGCTAAATTCTGGCACAGAAGAATTAGACTCCTCTAAGCTTCCTCTTTGGCTAATAATTTCCTTCAAATTCAGTCCCAGAGAAAATGGCCCAATTTGTGTTTCATCATATGACTTTTCTATATTCTCAAATTCAGTATCCTCACATAATTTAGTTTCAGAATCCAATAAAAGGCTCGTGGCCCAAATAATATCTTTGTTACACCTCTCATATAGGTCTTTTAGGGCTTCTAATGAAAACGATCCAAATAGTTTACAAAGAATGTTAAGATTTTCAGATTCATCAGCACTGGTAAGCTCACTTTCTTCAACATATGTGCTTTTGTCATACATTACCCTATATGGAATTGTTTCTTGAACATCTAATTTTGTGTTAATACTGAAAGCTTTCGGTTTAAATCCATCTAATCTTCCTGTTAATACTCTCAGAGAATCTGAAACACTAATTTTATTCTTTTCTATTTTCCATAAGAGAGCAAAATCCTGTGGTTCAGTCTGAGTACACTTGCCTACTTCTATTCCAGGGACTTCTTTAGTCTTTTCTTCTTGAAATTCAGCTGAAGTTTGTGGTCCCACTCCTCCAGGAGCAGTTGGCACACTATTGGTAAAAGTAAGAGACAATGTGTGTTGCCTATGAATCTTTTTACTTGGACAAGTTTTATTCTCACAGGTCATTTCATTGGGCAGCATTTCAGAACTTCCTCGAGTAGAACTACCCAACGTTTTTAGTTCTTCAGGGCTTGTGCCCCAACAGGCCTCACGTGCTGTATATAAGGACATTTCATTCATACTGTTGTTAGTTCCAAATTCTAGGTTGGGTTCATTGAAGCCAGCCTTTGGCATTCTTGATCTGTGCTCTCTCTGAGCTAAAGAATCAGATGAAGGCCAGTCACCCACAATGTTAAATGAGTCTTTTTCAGTATTTTTATAAGTACCATATTTACAGCTATTGAAAGATTCTGAGGCATCATCACACTGTGACTTGCTGTCATCCTCTACGTGTTCATGTGGAGATCCTCGTGGCTGGATACAATCTATACTCACAGATAAACTACTGTCTAATACTTTATGTGAATGAGGGCAATTATACTTTTTGTCACTGTGTATAGATAAAGCTTTCTCAGTTTTTCGGTTCCTTTTTGTCCTCTGACCGATAGACTTATCAACTGGCCAGTCACCAACAAAAGACAGCTCTTGTCTTGGGAACTTTTCCGAAGTTGATTTACTTTTTTGTTTTCCAAAGGCTTTTTTCTTTACTCCTGCTCTTTCTTCCAGCGTTTCACTAGATGAAGATTTTTCATTTTGAAGTGGTACAGTATTTGAAAGACCACAGTCTTCTTGATTATTTCCACCACAGCAAATACTTGGTGATATTCTCTCTACAAAACTATCTGCACTGGTTTTACTACACTCTTTTTCAGGAGCCATTTCTACTGGCTCTTCTTTTTCATGTTTGTCTGTTGCTTGTTCTTTGCTTTCAGAATCAGAAAAATAAATGTCTGGAGCTTCGTGAATGAAAGCACTCTGAATGTTAGGATTCATACCACTTATTTCTTTTTTTCCGTTGTTTAAATCTGCATTAGGGAGACATGTAACATTCTCAGGTAACAAATTTTCTTTGGTCACATCATGTTTCTTCTCTTCAATTAACTCTGGATGCTTCAGAGACGAGGATAAAACATTTTCTTCTTTTTCAGAGGCAATATCTTCATTGTCTCTTGGGCTGTAAGATTTGTTTTTAAGTATTATAAGGAAATCTCTTAATGTTGCCATTAATATTATGATTTAAAGAATCATTCAACTGAAAGAGAGACACTTGATCCTTCCCTAATACACTATGAACACATCGCTTTATTGTAATCCCAACACCTAGCACAACGCTTGGCATACAAGAAGCACTCAGATTTTTTCAAATTGAATAATTAACATGAGATTTTCAGTTAAGGTGTTTATTATCCATTAAATATTAAAGCTAAGGTTCTAAATTTGTTCCCAGAAGAGGACACCTCCCTAGCTCCTTTCCAACCTATTTAAGCTTAACATATGTGAAACTAGGTCTGCCTCTATACCACCTGTCATTTGCTGCAGAGGAAAATGCTTAAGATTGATTTACAAAGTCTCAAAGAGTCAACCAACGTGATCTGCACAATTAAGTGAAATGAGAGAAAGGGAGGACAGCTCTCATTTGAGATGTCACTTGCTAAATTTTTTAAAGCCATCCTCGATGTTAATTTCAGACTCAGAGCACTTTTGCCGAATCATTATACTTTCAACTTCAGTGCATTTTCCTTATTTAACAACTCATCTTCCTTTCTTTCTTTATTGCAGGGGTTCTCAAAGTCCCAACTATCCCATGAAGCCTTCCTAAGTGAAATCACACCTAACATTCAGTTTTCTATATACCAGATGCTATTATAAGTCCTTCACAAGTATTAATTCATAATCCTTATGAGATCCTTATAAGCAAAGTGTTATTATTGCCATTTTGCAAATGAGGAGCCGAAGTATAGAGAGATTTTATAATTTGTCAAAGATTACAAAGCTTTGGGATTTGAAGCCAGGAAATACAGCTAAGGAGCCCATATTCTTAACCACTTTGCAATACTGCTCCTCAATAAAAGAGCATTTGTGAATTTTCTTTTCCCAACTCCTTTTTAAAAGGGTCTCTCATCCCTAATCATCAAAAAATGTGAGCAATTCAGAACTTTATTTATATTTAAGACTCTTCTTTACTCACTTACTTATTCAACTGTTTATGTATCCTAAATGTTTTTAACATAATCAGTACTATCCTGAATTACAAACTTTCAAAAGGCTGTGACTTGTTATTACTTAGTAAAAGTATACCATGCATAATACATTTTTACAATACTAGCTTGAAAGAGTATTTTTATTAATACCTAAGAAAATTAAGAAGTAATGTGACTATATACAAAATAACAATAGGGGGTAGATAAGGTAACAGATAAATACTGGAATAGCAGCAAGTTAAATAAAGAAGGCAGGAGTATTCATAGTGTAAACATGGACCTACATAAACCAAAAGACAATGAAACCCCCATGTATGTCATCACCCACATAAACTTTTACTTCTCTTGCTAGCCATATATATCCTGCTCCAGGTAAGACTATACCTAAACCCTACAAACAACAAATGCCTACCTTATTTTTTAAAGTTATTTGGCAATGATTTTAGAATTTCCTAAATTATCAGATTTTTTAAAATTAAGTTTTTAAATTGAATTTCTGTACATAGAGACTTTAACCTACCTAATACTTCTGTCACAAGAATATGCACACAACTCGATACGTTCCATTTTCTCTGGAACTGAAGAACTCATGATTATGGGCACTGAAACAAAACGTTGATAGTGTTCCAACATTCTTGTTATTTTTTCTTTGCTTATCCCATGAATATTACGCCTAAAATTTCCAGGGAAAAAAAGGGTAGAAGGAACATTGGTAATTAAGTTCTTAAAAAATCGGCTCATATAATGTTAAGAGAAACAATGATACATTTCTAATATATAAAAATATCAAAACTGGTTTATTATGATACAATATAAACTATCTGATTCTAAGTTTCATTTTATTCAGAATGTCCTAAATTACCATTTTCTTAATCATGCCATACAATCTTTTCCAAACATCCTTCATCAACTTGGAAAAAAACAGCAGATCTTAATAACTTTAAGAGAAGTTATTCTCAAGCTCTGCCAAAAAAATCTCATACGAACATGACCATCATTTCAATTGATTAATTATTAACTAGTGACTAAAAAAATTCCACTACAGAGGCTTCCACTTATGCCAGTACAGCAGACTAGATGTGCCAAAGGACACTCCTATTACAGTAAAACTGGATCCCATACGAATTAAAGCAGACACACACTTTAACACATTTTAAGTTCAAGTAAAGAAAAAACATTCTTAGTATTTGAAGTCTCTGGATGTCCAAATATGAAGTTCATTATATTTGTGCTTTCATTCATGGTAGCTTATTCCTTTGTTTTTGTTTATGAGCTCACACTTAGTTGAATCTAATATATGGGAATCCTTAGGCCTTAAACTGGGGGTGCTTTCATTCATACAGCATCTGAATTTGCATCTGCCAGGAGGCAAAATGGTATGCTTTAGTCCTTCAAGGGTCTTGTCTTAATGAAAACATCCCAGTTGAAACTCTCCTATCTCAGGATGGATCCAACTTTAGTGTCTGGATCCTGGGGCTAATATTAGCATTTGCCCCCCTGGGGAAATCTGGCTTTCATATTTAAATACCTCAGTCTTATCTGGTTTCAGATGACAGAGAAGCAAAGAGATAGAAAATATGAAAGAGAGGTTGAGACATAGACATAGAGGACAGAGCAAAGAGGTCTAGTATACATCTAATCCAAGTCCCAGAAAGAGAAGAGAGAGTATGTGGGACAGAAGCAATTTAAAGAAAAATGGCTGAGAATGTTCCAGAACTGATGAAAGACATCAATCTCCTAATCTCACAAATCCAACAAATCTTAAGCAAGATAAATAAGAAATCTACAACTAGAAACACAGTACTGATATTGTCATTCACCAAAGATAGAGATGATATTAAAAGCAACTAGAAATTTAAAAAAACTAATCATCTACAAAGAAACCAACTATTAGAATTACACCTGACAACAATAATAATGGACAAATGTCATCATCAATAACAGAAACTATCAATCTAGAATATATACACCCAGCAAAAGTATCTTATAAGAATGAGGACAATAAAAGGAATTTCAGATTTAAAAAAAAAAAAAAAGAGAGAGAGATTGACATGAAACTGGTCTACAATGTAAAGAAAATCCTAAAAGATGAACTGTCAGGCAGAAGGAAATTCTCAGATGAAAGACCTATAATGAAAGGAAAATTAAGCACAAAGCACTACACACAGCACAAATAACTACATGAGTGAAAACACCATCTGTACATTCCAGACAATCATAGCATGTAAGTTGGAAGGGAGGTAAGTATCAGAGTTAACATGTTTGAAAGTCCTTGCATTTGTGAAGAGGAAAGCTAGGAAAATGGTTTAATTTTAAAGTCTGCATGATAAAACTTTTAATGTAACCACTAAAAGAGTTTAAAAAGTGTATATAATCTCCAAATTAGTAGAGAAGGAAAAAACGAGTAAGAAAATTTGCATTCAATTAAAAAATCCAAAAAAGGCAAGAGAGGAGGAAAAAAAGTCAAATATATAATTTTCTGTGATAGGAGAAAAAACAGTCACAGAAAAGGTGAGATTAATAAAAAGTACAGAGAGAGACAGCAAGAAACAAGACCAATTACATGAATACCCAAAATAACTGTAAAAGAACTAAGCTTATCAATGAAAAGCCAAAGATAGAGTGAATTTTTTAAAACCCAGCCATACTGGTTATAAGAGATACACCTAAACACAAAGATACTGAAAGGTTGAAAGGAAAACTATAGAAAAAGAAGTAACACTCAAATACTAACTAAAAGAACTGGTATAGTTCTATTTATATTAGACAAATTAGATTTTATAACAAAAGTTAATATTAATAAAAGAAAATTACTAGACAAGGATAAAAGGTTCAATTAGAGTGATATAAAAATCTTAAGCTTATATGTACTTCAAAAAATATCCTCAGTATATTTAAAGCAAAAATGGGCAGAATTATAAGGAAAAACTGACATAATCAACATAATAGAGGGAGATATCAACACCTCTCCCATAGTACATTTTCTCATCCCTCTCTTAAACATTAATCCATCAAGCAAAATTTTCTGAAAAGTAAAGCTACAGATGCGAGCAAAAGAATAAGCATGATTTAATGATATATTAATATACTATAACTGTTATACATTCTTATCAAGCAAATATGAACATTTATAAAAAATTGACAATGAACTAGTAAAACACATCTTTAAAAATATCAGAGAATTAGCATCATACAAACCGCACAATCTTACCTACTGCAGTAAAGTTGAAAACCAATTTTTTTGAAAAGATAAATTTTAAAACCATCTGTTCCAAAATTTAAAACGTAGCTCTAAACAACCCAAGGGTTAAAGAATTAAAGTAACAGTAATGCAAAATAGAAAATAAATGATAAAAAGAAGATATTATATATTAAAATTCTAGGGGCATCTAACATGATACTTAGGGAAATTTATAGCATTAAATGCTCATATTAGAAAATGACCTAGGGCTTCGCTGGTGGTTCAGTGGTTAAGAGTCTGCCTTCCAGTGCAAGGGACACAGGTTCAAGCCCTGATCCAGGAAGATCCCACATGCCGTGGAGCAACTAAGCCCCTGCATTACAACTACTGAGCCTGTGCTCTAGAGCCTGAGAGCCACAACTACTGAGCCCACATGCCACAACGACTGAAGCCCATGCGCCTAGAGCCCGTGCTCCCCAACAAGAGAAGCCACTGCAATGAGAAGCCCACGCACCGCAACGAAGACTCAATGCAGCCAAAAAAAAAAAAAAAAGAATAAACAAAGCAAAATAGATTTTTTTTAAGCAAAGAAAGTAGAATAAAAGAAGCAGAAATGAATGAAACATGAAACAAACTTACAATAGAAAGATCAACAAAGCAGAAAGATGTCTATTTGAAAATGCTAATAAAACATCTGATCTCGGGCTTCCCTGGTGGCACAGTGGTTAAGAAGACGCCTGCCAATGCAGGGGACACAGGTTTGATCCCTGGTCCGGGAAGATCTCACATGCTGCAGAGCAGCTAAGCCCGTGTGCCACAATTAATGAGCCTGCACTCTAGAGCCCGCGAGCCACAACTACTGAGCCCTCGTGCCACAACTACTGAAGCCCACATGCCTAGAGCCCATGCTCTGCAACGAGAAACCACAACAATGAGAACTCTGCGCACCGCAACGAAGAGTAGCCCCCACTTGCTGCAACTAGATAAAGCCCGTGCACAGCAACGAAGAACCAACAGAGCCAAAAATAAAAACAAATAAATAGGGCTTCCCTCGTGGCGCAGTGGTTGAGAGTCCGCCTGCCGACGCAGGGGACGCGGGTTCGTGCCCTGGTCTGGGAAGATCCCACATGCCGCGGAGCGGCTAGGCCCGTGAGCCATGGCCGCTGAGCCTGCGCGTCCGGAGCCTGTGCTCCACAACAGGAGAGGCCACAGCAGTGAGAGGCCCGCGTACCGCAAAAAAAAAAAAAGCCAAACAAATAAATAAATAAATTTATAAAAACAAAAAAATCTGATCTCTGCTAAGAATAATCAAGAAAAAAAAGAAGATACACATAAACGCATTAGGGTTTAAAAGTATAGATGCAGCAGAGATGTAAATGGTAAGAGAATACTACAAGAGTTTTAATAAAAAGTTTTTCGTTTTATGTATTTATTTATTTAATTTATATTTTGGCTGCGTTGGGTCTTCGTTGCTGCGTGTGGGCTTTCTCTAGCTACGGGGAGTGGGGGCTACTCTTCGTTGTGGTATGCAGGCTTCTCACTGCGGTGGCTTCTCTTGTTGTGGAGCATGGGCTCTAGGCACGTGAACTTCAGTAGTTGTGGCACAAGGGCTCAGTATTTGTGGTTCGCGGGCTCTAGAGCACAGGCTCAGTCGTTGTGGCACACGGGCTTAGCTTCTCTGCAGCATGTGGGATCTTCCCGGACCACGGCTTGCACCCGTGTCCCCTGCATTGGCAGGCAGATTCTTAACCATTGCACCACCAGGGAAGTCCCATAAACGGTCTTAGTAAATTTGAAAACTTTGGTGTAATGGACAAATTCCAATGGAAACTTCTCACAAAGAAAACAAAGGATCCAGACAGTTTCATAAGTAAATTCTATCAAACATTCAAACTTACATAAACTCAGAAAAGAGAAGAAATACTTCCCAACTAATCTTATGAACCTAAAACCATGATACCAAAACCAGGCAAGACAGGGCAAAGAAGAAAAAACTGTAAGTCAATCTCACTCATTCATACAGATGCAAAAATCCTAAATGAAATACTAGAAAACCAAATCTAGTAATGTATCTAGTAATGTATCAAAAGGATAATAAAAAGGAATGAAGTACTGATACATTCTCCAACATGGGTGAACCTTGAAAACATTATGCTAAGTGAAGATGTCAGACACAAAAGGTCACATATTGTATGATCCCATTTATAGGAAATGTCTGGAATAGGCAAATTGATAGAGACAGAAAAGCGGATTAGTAGTTGCCAAGGGAAAGGGGAATCGGGAGTGACTAACAGCAAATACAGGGTTTCTTTGTTGAGGTAATGAAAACATTCGTCAATTAAACAGTGGTGATGCTTGCACAACATTGTGAATATCCTAAAGTTAGGTTGTCCTTTATTTAGTACTGACATTAGTTTAAATTACCATGGAGAAAATACCCTGACCAAAATTAATTTAGGGCTATCTCTAAGGGAATACAGAGCACAAAACAAAATACACTGTATGTCCATGTCCTGAGTTAACATTTTTATCCAAGTCAAACAATCAGAGAAAAAAGTATAACCTTGGGGGGAAAGCAGAGTGGGTAGTGAAAAACCTGGACAGCTACTACCTTTTCCATTTATACCTCCTCACTTCCGTCCAGCATTGTGAGTCACTATGCAGCTACAACAATTTGTCCCTGCCAGTAGCACACGGTTCAGGTTTGCCAAATCCTAGAATCTCTTCTAGTTTCAGATATTGACATTATATTATTAATAAGTAATAAAGTACTGACTATATAAGACAATTGGAATTTTTCTGACTGTTCATTAACAATTTAGGAACAGAAAGACAAATTCTTCACAAACTGATAAAAGAAAGCCTATAGGCAACACAAAATTTGTTATTAATTTTTAAGTGGCGAAGCCGCAATCTAATACATTTTGTTTCGTTCATTATTTACAAGGGGAAAAAAATCTAGATGGACTTTCTATCACTCTCATGAAATTAAAAACACGTTAGATAAACTCCAAGTTTTACCTTGCAAGTTCCTTTGGTTTGAATTTCCACCAGGTATCCGGTTCCCGGAAAAGGACTTTATATTTATGTTTTTGAGACTACATACAAAAAAGACAAATGCATTTTAAAATAATTACTTCCATGAAATTTAATTCATTGTTTCCAAATTCACAGCATGTTAAAACTGAAAGAACCTAAAAGATTATCTAATCTTGATGAGTGTGTTACCTGGTAAAATACACAGTCTCTTTGATCCAGCAATGAACTTCCAGAAATTTATGCTATTGATAAAAACTTATGTCAGAGTGCAGAAATATATATATGGCGAAAGATATCCAGTTCGCCATTATTTGTAACAGCAAAAGAATACAAACAACTTAGTGTCTATTAACATGGAACTGGCTAAAGAAATGAAGATACAGCCATACAGTGAAAATATATACAATGGTTTTAAAAATACTATATGTGTTAATGAGAAAATGTTCTTAATATAAATTGTTAAGAAAGTAAGATACAGAATTTTCACTTGAATAAAAAAGGATTAGTCACACATCTGTATATGTATAAAAACTTCTGGAAAGTTTCTCAAAATTACTATGAAAAGCACCTACCTCAAGGGGATAGGACTTTAGGCATTCTTTTTTATGGTTTGAATACCTCCCATAAACATGTACGACTTTTGTAAGTTTAAAACCATCTTAAATGACAGCTCATTCTATTTTTCAAAACTCTAATATGGCTGTAATCTAAAAGCCAAGCCCTATACTTGTGCACTAGACCCATCTTCTCTATCTCAAGGGTAACTGAGTTCAGCAACTCTCCCCTCTGAGGCATGATTAATTTTTCTCTCCCTGCTGAATCAATCTCATCACATTCAGTTATTTCTCCCATTTTACTCTAACCTCTCATCCCCTGACAGCTATCTCCCCATTTTCCTACTCCCATTGCAGGAAAACGTCTCAAATAATAACTATATTCTGTCTCCAATTCTTCCCCTTCTAGCCTCTCAAACCCACTCCAACTGGCTCCTCCATTGAAACTGGGCATGGAAACCATGAATTACTTCCACATTGAAAAATGCTACGGTTAATTCTCACTCTCTTGCCTCTCAGCAGCATTTGTCACAGTTCATCACTCTCTTCTTACACTGTTTTCATTACTATTGCTTTTCCTACTCCTCCAACTGGGTGGGTGTTCTCAGTCCTTTTTGTTAGTCCTTCCCTTTCACCCAGACCTCTTCTCACAATGGAATGGCCCAGACTTAGTCCTTGGTCTTCTACTCTTGATCCACACTCACTTCCTCAGTAATTATCATGCCACTCCTTGGCTTTAAATATCATGCATTAGGTAATGACTCTCAAATATATATTGTTAGCCCAGAATTCACTCCTGAACTCCAAACCCAGAGATCCAATTACCTATTAAACAAACTTAACACAGTCAAACTTAAACTTCTGAAATTCATTACCTCACACCCACCACAAAACTATTCTACCTGAGGACTACCCTGGCAGTCCAGTGGTTAAGACTCTGCAGTTCGATCCCTAGTCAGGGAACTAAGATCCCACATGCTGTACAGTGTGACCAAAAAAAACAACAAAAAACTATTCTACCTGAATTGAACCCTCTCCATCTCAACTGATGACAACCTCCAGTTACACAAGCCAAAAACCAACCTTGATGTCATACTTAATGCCTCTCTTTCTTTCACATCCACATCAATACAAGAAATTCAGTTGGCTCTACTTTAAAAATATATCCAGAATCTAATCTCTACTCACTATCACCTTTACTACTACCATGTTGGTCTGAACCATGTGATTTTTTACTTTAATTACCACTATAGCCCTCTAACTAGTCTCCCTGCTTCCATTCTTCCCCACTCATAAGTCTATTCTCAATGCTGCACTACAGTGATCCTTTTAATAGTCAGATCATGTCACTACTCTGCTCAAAACCTTGTTATGAACTGAATGATGGTGTCCCCTCAGATCCCATATGTGGAAACCGCCATCCCACCATGTGACTGTGTTTGGAGATAGGACCTTTATAGAAGTAATTAGGGTTAAATGAAGTCAAAAGGTTAGGGCCCTAATCTGTTAAGATTAGTGCTCTCATAAGAAGAGACACCCTGGGGCTCCCCTGGTGGCGCAGTGGTTGAGAGTCCTCCTGCCGATCCAGGGTACATGGGTTTGTGCCCCGGTCCGGGAGGACCCCACATGGCACGGAGCAGCTGGGCCCATGAGCCATGGCCGCTGAGCCTGCGCGTCCGGAGCCTGTGCTCCGCAACGGGAGAGGCCACAACAGTGAGAGGCCCGCATACCGCAAAAAAAAAAAGAAGAGACACTGGAGAACTTGCTCTCTCCACCATGTGAGAACACAGCAAGAAAATGGCCACCTGCAAGGGAGGAAGAGAACTCTCACCAGAAACTGACCCTGCTGGACCTTGATCTGGGACGTCTAGCCTCCAGAACTATGAGAAAATTAATTTCCTCTTGTTGAAGCTACCCAGTCTATGGTTTTTTTTTTATGGCAGCCTGAGCAGACTAATGTATCTTCCACGTCACCCAAGGTAAAATCCAAAGTCCTCACAGTGATCTATGTATGAGCCCTTACATAATCTGCCCTACCATCTCCCCAACCACCATTACATCTCTGACCTCACCTCCCACTATTGATCCTCTCAGCTTTATGACAAGATGCCAAAGTGGTCATTGCTATTTTCTGTCATTCTGACAGAAAAGTCCAAAATTCAACCCAGACACCAAGGTAGGTAGTGACATAACACCCTGTAATGAGCTTACTCACTTCCATCTCCTCACCTCAGCACCAAATTTCATACAAATGATTCAAGGCCCGGCAATAGCCCAGGTCTCTAATTACCTAAAGGGGTATCATACAGCTGTTAGGATCAAATTAATTTTAAATTCATGCATACACAAAGAGAAAAAGAGAGACTATCAATTTAAAGACTTTTTCAACTCCCATATCAATAGGCAAACCTTAAAAATATGTTACATTACTCAAGAGGATTCTGACTTAGGTCAACCTCTATGATAGCCCACAAGCGACAATATTGCTTTGCCATATATATACATACATACACACACACACACACACACACACACACACACACACACACGTTTTGCCAATTGCCACTAGGCATATTTGACTGCTCCCTATTTATCTCTTACTACTTTAGCTACTTTTGTAAATGACAGTCAAGATGATAATAGACTGTTTACTCTATTCCACTCCCCTACAGCTTTCATTATCTTACTACCAAAAGAAGCAAAAAGTGATCCTCTTCTCTATAGTAATTCCTTCATCTACTTCTTTGTGAAGACAAAAGCATTTGCCATCTATGATAAGCAGGAGTCCTTTATACTTCTAAGTAGAGTTGCAAAGAGTCAAGGAATCAATACCGGAAAAATAGCTTCATATTTTCAATCATTATATAATAAAAAAGGGGAAAGAAAACATTATAGAAGGCTGAAGCCTAAACGAAAATCAGAAACACATAATTCAAGGACTTCTTTGTTTTCTACATAGGAAAGTAAAGTGTTTTTTTTCCTATTTTCATAGGAAAATAAAGAACTTTCTAAGATGAGAGCAGGAAGCTAAGAAAAACCTACAGAGGAGTTAAGTAAGGTTAAGGGGGAAGCAGGTCCCAGTGGTGAATATATTAGTCTAGAAACTAGAAACTCCTAAGGCCAGAAAGCAAACTGTGTGTGATTTTAGTGCTCCCAATGCACTAAAATCAAGTCTTTGTTCCCTCTACTGCCCTGCACAGAAGTAAAATCTCACTTGTTCAAAGGACACAATTTTCTTCAGAAAAGTAAAGAATAATACCTTGTACTTCAAAACAGTACAAGTGCACTGGGCACAGCAATGGGGGTATAAGTTGGATGTGTTAAGAACATAAATCAGCAAGTACAATATTTACTAACTAAAGAAACAAACTGAGCTTCAATGTGCCAGATGTGCTAATCTTGGGGTAATAAAACAAACAATACCCATACTCACAAAAGCTTCACTCATCAATTTACTCAATGAATATATATATTAATTATATGCCAAGCATAGTGCTATATTCTGGAGATTCAATGATGAAAAAAATGATAGGCTTACCCTCAAGAAAAATGGATAGCTTAGAGCTAAATTCAGCCCATCAGCCAGTATTTGTACAACCTAGGAGTTAAGAATAGTTTTTGTGTGTGTGTGTGTTTTTATCTTTAAAAGGTTCTTAAAAGAGAATATGCAACAGAAACTGTGGCCTGCAAAACCTAAAATATTTACTATCTGGTGCTTTCTAGAAAAAAGTTAGTCAACCCATGGCCTACTGATAAAAACCTTGTGCTTAATACTATGACAGAAGCAAGCCAGGGTGCCAGGAAAGCAGAAAGAGTGCCCAATTCAGCTTTTTAGTAAGTGAATGAAAGCTAACTTCCTGAAAAAGCTGACATCAAAGCTGGACAAAAAAGGAATCCAGCAAATTTGGAGAACTGAAAATAGCTGAATGTACAGAATTTTGAATTTCTCAGAATAGCAAAATTTCAAAAGAAATTTGGGGACTAAGAAAGAACCAGCAAATTTTGATTCTGCCAAGTAAAAGCAATAAGAAAATGGTTGTGTGTGTGTGTAGACACACACATACATACACATAAATACACACAAACATAAAATTATAATTTAATACCACTATCTTTTCATAAAAGACATCAAAAAACAAAAACAATCTCAGAATTTAAAAACTGAATCTCAAAATTTGAAAACTGAATAAATTTAGTTTTATGGAAAAACTATTCCTATTTTTCTCATTTTCTCATTTTGCTAAAGACCAGAGAAAGCTCAGGACTGTTTGCTTGAGATTCACTTGTGTAATTAACATCCCCCAATAATTTCAAACCCACTATTAGACTTATGACAATTCATGGTACAAACCAAAGCAACATATGGCTTCATTTCCCATGCCTGTAGATTTGTATTATCTATTATTATAGGAGATACCTTCTTCTCAAATGCTTCTTTTGCTGAAATACAAACAGAAAATGAGAAATCACTTTTAGTAACAATATTAAGGATTATCTTGATATTTTAAAAATCTGATCTTGTTTTCATAATTTGAAAATCATAAGATATGTGCTAATTTTATTCACAACTCTATTTCTAAATACTATTTTGAATATATAAAAAATTAAAACATAGGGAAATGTTGAATAATAAATAATAAATAATAAAATTATAATCAGAGAAATTAAATAAAAACTGTCTGATTTTAGTTTGACGTGCATGCTACATGTATAAATAGCATAAATGGGGAAAAAAGCTATCATTAAAAACAATATCATACCATGCTAAAAGCAACATGGTATCCTGGATAAGATTCTGGATACCATGAATCCAGAATCTGGATTCTGGAACAGAAAAGGACTTTTGTAGAAAAACTAAAATCCAAGTAAAATCTGGAGTTTAGTTAATAGTAATGTACCAATGTTAATTTTAATTTCTCAGTCTTGACAAATGTACCATAGTTATATAAAATGTTAACATTAGGGCCAAATGGGTGAGGGGTATAGAGAAACTCAATATTGCCTTTGCAAACCTTTCCATAAATCTAAAATTATTCCAAAGTAAAGTTTAAAAACAAAAAATATAGGCAAACATGCATACACATGACAAAAAACAAGATGTCTTGATTTGAAATAAACAATTATTATATGTCTTGTGCAAGAGATTTTCTTATAAAACTGCCTTTTTTCCCAAGGAATTAGACCATTCAGGGAATTAATGATGAGCCACAATAAATAAGCCTTACAAGGAAAATATTTGGAAGTTTTAAAAGTTCTGTATACTCTCTTATAACTCAATAATAAAAAGACAAATAATTCAATTTAAAAATGGCAAAGATTTGAATAGAAAGCTCTCCAAAGGAGATAAACAAGTAGCCAACAGGCACACAAAAAGATGCTCAACATCATCAGCCATCAGGAAAATGCAAATCAAAACCACAACATGATACCACTTCACACCCACCAGGATAGCTATAATCAAAAAGATAGATAATAACATGTGTTGGTAAAGATATAGAGAAGTTGGAACCCTCATAAACTGCTACTGGGAATGTAAAATAGTGCAGCTGCTTTGGAAAATAGCTTGGCAGTTACTAAAAAGGTTAGACATAGACAGGCATGTTCATAGCAACATTATTCATAATAGCCAAAAAGTGGAAACAACCCAAATGTCCATCAACTAATGAATGGATAAACAAAATGTGGCAGATCCATATAATGGAATATTATTCAGCCATAAAAAAGAATAAAGTACTGATACTTTCTACAACATGGATGAACCTTGAAAAACGTTATGCTAAATGAAAGAAAGCCATTCACAAAGACCACATATTATATGATTCTACTTGTATGAAATGTTCAGAAGAGACAAACCTATAGAAAGAGAAAGTAAAGTAGTAGTTGCCTGGGGCTGGGAGAGAGTTGGGGAGAAATGAGGAGTGACTGCTAATGGGTATGAGGTCTTTCTGGAGTGATAAAAACGTTCTAAAATTGATTGTGGTGATGGTTGTACAACACTGAATATGCTAAAAACGATTTGATTCTTATCGCATTCAATAAAGCTTTTTAAAAAAAGAGTTCTGCCAATTAATTTCATATCATCATTGTTGCAGTTGTTGTTATAGAAAGGGCACACTGAACTACGGCTAAGCACTTTTCATTCTCATTTAACCTTTACAAGAATCCTGGGGGTTTAGTATTATTAAGCCCTTTTACAGATGAAGACACTGGGTCCCGGAGAATATAAATAACTTGCACAAGATCACACAGCTAGTAACTGGCAAATCCAAGATTGCTCTTCATCACATCACACTGTTTATTTTTGTGTTGGTATTCCTGAGTTTTCACTTCAGTATTTAGTTCAAGAATGAATATAGAAAAATTTAACAATGTCTAAAGATGACAAACTCAAGAATAGCCTTCACAGTGCATTTATCGTAAAAGAAACACTAAGTAAAATATTGTCTATACGTCTTAATAAGAACTTCACACATAAAACTCTATCCATAACTATACATTTCATAATAAAACCATCTTCAGTGAATAGACAGTTGCACTAATAAAGAAATTAAGGTTTTACCTATGATCTCCCTGCAGACTCAGTTTGAGGAGAGTCATTTTTACATTCACACTATCCTCTATAAAAATTAAGCCAATCTAGGCAAGACTAGCGATTAACAATGCAAATTCTATTTTAGGAAACAGGAACCAGAGCCAGAAAACTGTAACCATCTTGAGCTATTCAGAGACCAGCACAGAAAATCTGACTTACTATATATACTTCTGCAAGATAACCCACTGACTAAATAAAACTTAAACATGTTATGCAATGTTCTAAGCTATTCTATAAAACTTAGCTCATTTAATTCTCATAACAACTCTATGAGACTACCTCTTTCACTTACTATGTAACATTAGAATTGTTATAATTTTACCTATATTATATATAGTTATAATTTAGAATTAAAGATAATTATAACTTTTAAAAGTTATACGTCTCTCAAAATACAAACACTAAGTGGATTTTTTTCTTTATATTCCTCTTAATATTACGCATCATCTGATGTCTATTCTTACCACGATTCTGGTTCCATTCATGTGCTTCTCCTAAGTATTTTACATCAAACTGGTATTGTCCATTTATGTAAAAATAATCATCAGTACTAAGAATGACTCCACTTGGATTATCCTCTTGCAAAGTCCTGTGAATGATAAATGTAATTATTTTCATTCATTTTTCTTCTATTTAAATTCTCTCTCCTAATTTTTGCAAGGTCATAATCCGAATTAAAAATTCAAGTATTGGACTTCCCTGGTGGCTTAGCGGTTAAGAATCCACCTGCCAATGCAGGGCACACGGGTCTGATCCCTGGTCCAGGAATATCCCACATGCCGCAGAGCAACTAAGCCCGTGTGTTGCAACTACTGAGCCTGTGCTCTAGAGCCTGCGCACCATGACTACTGAATCCTGCGCGCCTAGAGCCCGTGCTCCGCAACAAAGAGAAGCCACCGCAATGAGAAGCCCGTGCACCGCAACAAAGAGTAGCCCTCACTCGCCGCAACCAGAGGAAGCCCACGCAAGGTAAAGAAGACGCAACACAGCCAAAAATAAACAAATAAATTAATTTTTTTAAAAACCGACTTAAAAATTCAAATATTATTATTTAAAAGAATGAAAATATTTTATTATTCAAACAAATCACACTAGAGGGACTTCCCTGAGAATATGCCTTCCAGTGCAGAGGATGCAGGTTTGATCCCAGGTCAGAGAACTTAAGATCCCACGTGCCGAGGGGCAACTAAGCCTGCGCGCTGCAACTACTGAGCCTGCATGCTCTGGAGCCCACGCGCCACAACTAGGGAGAAGCCCGTGCACCGCAACAAAGAGCCCACGTGCCACAACGAAAGATCCCGTGTGCCACAACTAAGACACGACGCAGCCAAAAATAAAATAAATAAATAAATAAATAAAATATTTAAAAAAAAAAATCACACTAGAAATCCTCTAAGCAGAAGTTTGACCCCCAGGTATACTGACCTGAGGCAAGGCTACTTTGCTTTATATACTATAAAGGTTTGAAAATTAACACATTTTAATTATCAAGAAAACCAGACAACTGCAAATGCTTCAGAACTCTTATCAGTCACAGGCAATCCCCTCATCTGGTCACTTGATACACACTGATCTACCTTACCCACTCTAAGTGGAAGGTCACTTCCCATTAGGTGAGTACCTTGATATTCAACCGATCTTCAAAAGTAGATGAAGCTCTTTGTATATTGCCATAAATTTAGTGAGTATGCCGAAAACATCCAAAAATATAATGTTAATAGACTATTAATTTAATCTGTTAAATTATACAAAGTTAAGATAGTTTTGCGGGGCTTTTCTGACATCTCTTTCTTTTGGCCATGCTGCGCAGGTTGCAGGGGATCTTAGTTCCCCAACCAGGGATCAAAGCTGTGTCCCCTGCAGTGGAAGCACAAAGTCTCAACTACTGGACCATCAGGGAAGTCTCCCATCTCTCTTTCTTGACTCTGGAATTTATCTTCTATGTAATTGAGATACATGCAAAAACTAAGCAAACAGAATCCACAGAGACATAACAATGCTACCCTCTTAACCATTTGTAAAATATCACCATTTATCCTCTCCTAAAACATGTATAAATATTCCTGAAGTTAAAATATACTTTTAAATTAATTTTTATTGTAGTATAGTTGATTCAAAATGTTGTGTTAGTTTCAGGTGTACAGCAAAGTGAATCAGTTATACATATATCCACTCTTTTTTAGATTCTTTTCCCATATTAAAATATACCTTTTGAATTTAATTTTTATTAGTATCTACTAAGTGCCAGGCACTGTTTTAAGCACTGAGCATACATCAGTGAATAAAAACAACAAACATTCTTGCACTCATGGAGCTCACATTCTGGTGAATGCTCACTCGATCCCACTTCTTAAGACTCCTACATTTACCCTCTTCTCCTTTATCTCTAAGTCTTCCCCTCTGACACTTTAATTCCTCTTTTCCCTTTAAACATGTATACATCTCAGCTATCTTTTAAAATTGTAACCACACTTTAAGGACCCCTTTTTCAACTATTACCCAACTTCTCTCCTTCCCTTAACTGCTTTAGTATAAATGCTTTTTTAAGGTCTTAAGGTCTTCCACCTTCCCAGCGCAACAAAATTGTTTTTCAAGATATCCATTCATGACCTTCTTTCCAATAAATCCAAAAGCTGTTTTTCATCTTTCATTTTCCTTGGGCTTGCATGCTAGCTTAATACTGTGGACTGTTCTCTCTGAGAAAACTCAGCTTCTATGTCTCTGTACTTCCCAGTTATTTCTCTCTATTCATTCAAAAATTATTAGTAAGCTCTGACTTTGTGACACGCACTTCTTTCTCTTCCCAATTGCTAACTGTAGCTGCCTCTGGCTCTAAGGCCTCTGAAACCTAGTTCTTCAAACAAATGTCACAGCACTATTACTTTTTAAGGTACAACCTTTTGTTCCAATCTTTCACAAAATGCAATATCATAACTGACTGTAATGTCTATAATATTAAATTAAAATGTTTTTTATTCTTGTGGTCATTAAATCAATGAGAAAGCCTATGTCTACAGAAGAATATACTTATAAGTGTATGAGTAGAATGTGTGGAAATTTATTGGGAAATAAATCCACACTAAGAAAGGACATTAAAAAAAACAACTGAAGGGCTTCCCTGGTGGCGCAGTGGTTGAGAGTCCGCCTGCCGATGCAGGGGACGGGGGTTCATGCCCCGGTCCGGGAGGATCCCACATGCCGCGGAGCGGCTGGGCCCGTGAGCCATGGCCACTGGGCCTGCGCGTCCGGAGCCTGTGCTCTGCAGCGGGAGAGGCCACAACAGTGAGAGGCCCGCGTACCGCAAAAAAAAAAAAAAAAAAAAAAAACTGAAAATGAGCTCATCAAGGTATACATGCATACTCACTAATGCTAGATACACCCAGGATCAAATAGAAAAGACCCAGCTAAGAATAGAAGAGAGCAAAGAGTTAAAATTTGGAAGGAAAAGGGAAAAACTGGCAAATAAAATATATTAGATGTAAATATTCTGGAATTTAAAGAAGGAGGGTAGGAGAAAACTTTGAAAACAACACTCTTTAACAAGTGCTGCTGAAAACACAACAAAGCTGCCTCTAACCCTGACTCTAGTCTCTCACACCAAGGCATCCACAACATTCCTTGATTACAAAAGGGACATAGATGGGTATTTGAGATAAAACAACTGAGAGCACATCTTGCAAGAAATAAATCACTGAGAATTTGAAGTTCTCTATCAGTGGTTCATCCCATGTTCTTTCTTCAAACATACATTTCTAAAACCTTATTTAACAACATGCTACACTTCCAAATCTCCAACTACCAGTAGAATTCTTGTGTATAAGACTTCCTTGAATTCAAAATCAATTATGGCCCTTTATCTCTATAATCAAAGCTGAATTCATCTTTCTCCCACTCAAATTAGTTCTCTTCCACATGAACTTATTTCTGTTGGTTTCACAAGTTCACAATCTTGGAATCATCTTTAATATTTTCCTCTATTCTGTCTCTCAAAATATTCTAAGATGAAAGAATTCAATAAAAACTTCTAGAGAAAACAGTGCTATTAGCTACAAAGTTAAAAACAATTAGTAAACATCTCTATGAACTAAAAGTATTCCACATATTTATGCTGTTATAAATATTCAAGTTCATGCATTACACTCTTTCTTTAAACTCAATTAAACCTCATACCTTGCCAAAAAAGATTTTCCTGATCCCGGAAGCCCTCTGAGAAGAACAAGAACTAGTCCAACATAAGATGATGTCTTCTTTCTTACAACCTGAGAAGCTGGAGTTTCTTGTACCTGATAAGCACTTGTTCCCTCTTTATTTCTCCATACCTTTGTTGGGGAAGTATGAGAAATAACCGGCGGTGGAAATGTATAGTTGACAGGTCTCCAGTGTGCAGCTGTGGTTACAACAGGAGCTACAAAGCCATGGTTTCCTTGAAAGAGGTCAAAAGCAGGAATCATTGGATTCCACATTGGTGGAGGGGGAGGAGGAGGCAGCAGTAGAGGGAGAGGGGTAAGTACTGGGCAGTAGTTCACATCCTTCCCCTTTGGTGGCAGTTCAGTCTGTTTGTGTGACTGGAAATTGAATTCTTCAGAAGGTACAAAAACATCAGGGACAGAAGATTTCTGATCTCCACCTGTACCTAGTAAACCAAGCCCCAGATTTTGCACAGTAAGGTTTAAAGGCGCCTGAAGTTCGTTGGCATCCAAATCTACAGGGGCTTGAGAGAACTGAGTCTCAACACACACAGATTCTAAAAGCTCTTTAATTTGGTTACTACAATCCATCGTAGTGTCATTTGCTACATTTAAAGAACTACTGAGAAGAGAATCTTCCAATGCCAATGTGTTATCCTTTGTAAAAGTTTTGGACTCATTTGAAAGTGAATGTGAAGTTAAGGAATTTGAACTTAATGTAGAGGCAGAACTCTCTACATTTTCACTGTTCAAATCCATATTTTGGGTAGAAAGAATGGGAGTCGTACTACTTGAATCTGAATTTATAAATGCACTCGGGTTACTAAAATTATTAACATCTCGCAAAGGCAAAAATGAGTATGCATGGTCATCAGGAGAAGAGTTCAATTTCTCAAAAGCATTCTGTATTAAGGAATCTAAGTCTTCAGTTAGCTGCATGTCCAAAAATGAATCCATTTTTGAATCTTCATTCTCTTCTTCAGGAGGACACTTTTCCATTATTTCACATCCCACTGCATCTACTTGGTTCTCAGAAGCAACGAAGCTTTTTGAAGGCGATTCTTCTATTTTAGCGTCAGTGGCTGATAATTCTAATAGACAATCCATGGCATTTTCAACTGTACAACAACAAGAACGACAACAAAATATATCCGTATGTATTGAAAACAGTAAAATATAATTTAATTAAAATCCACATAAAATTATACTAGAATTCACATTGAATGAAATACAGAGAAATTTATAAATATTCAAGTAATTCCTTAAATTAATATTTTACTAATATATCAGCCTGTATTAGTGAAAGGTTTAAATTATGAAGACATGCAATGTTACTTTCCAACAAACAGTAGTAAACTAGGCTAATGAACTGCCATCAAGTAGATATTCTCTGATGAATTTATTGATTAAAAGTAAAAATATCTGTAATTATATACATTAGGGTTGTTTATACAGATCCTAAAATCAGTTGATTTACTCAAAAATACTAACCTACTGCATGTCCTTTTAAGTATGAAGTATTTTAAGTACTCTCCTAGTAAATGTAATTTGTATATATGGTCCATGTTATGAATTTCACTTAATACAAAAAATATGTATGAGCATGTACTACGTATCAGACATACTTTGTACAAAGATGAATAAGACAACTTTTAACTACACTCAAAGGATTTTTGCAGTCTAATGGAGGCAATTACAGATAATTACGTTAGAAGACAATCACACTATAATATAGGTTAAATAATGCACACTCTTTATAATATACAAATGCCTTAACAGCCTTATATGAGAGTAAGGAAAGATTTCACATAAGGTAATATGTGAACTGGGAGTCGAAGATCAAAAAGAAAGTTGTCAGACACAGAAGGGAAAGGCAAAACCAGTCTTGAAAACACAAAGCATGTTTAAGGTATTAAGAGAAGTTTGTTGGAATGCGAGTACAAGTAGTATGGTGGGTAAGAGGAGATAAAACTGGAAAGGGAAATTGGGAAGGGTCCTGTATTTCATGGTAAGAAATATCAATTTTATTTTCTAAGGGAACTTGAAGGGAAACTACCTGTCATAGCATTTGGGCTAGATGCTTTGTCATCTCACTGAATCTTCAAATTATACTATGAGTTACAGTATTCCTAGCACATAGATGAAGGAAATGAAGTTCAGAAAGTACATTAACTTAGCCCAAGTCACACAGATATTAAGTGACAGAGCCAGGACTGGTATGTCTGACTCCACTGCTGAGCTCTTTCCCTTATAACATAAATACAGAGCCATTAGAATTGTTAAGCATCAGAAATTTGAGGCTTTTTTATATTATTTTTGTGTTTTATCTTGTTTTGTTTTATGGAAGATAAATGTGGAAACAGCACAGCACAGTAGGTGAAAGCTCTGGTCCGGAGTCAGAACGACATTTAAATCCCTACTTGCTGGCAGTAACACTTTGAACGAGCTACTTAACTTTCCTAAGCCTTGATTTCCTCATCTGCAATGTGTGGATAATAGAAGTACCTACCTCATAGTGTTGTTGTGAGGATTAAATGAGATAATCCATGAAAAAGGGCTGTGCACAAGGACTGGCACCTAGTAAGCACCCAAATTATGTTCCCTTAAGAAGAAAAACAAAGAGGGATTGGAGGGGGCAAGCCTGACAGAGAGACCAGTTAGAAGACTATAGCAATGCTACAAAAGCTAGAAGCCCTAAACATAGAAAAAAGAAAAAAGAAAAGGAAAAAAAAGCAAATATAAGAGGTATTTCTAAGAAAAAAATCTATGTGATAGAAAAATCACAAAAGAAAAAAATCAACCAAAAAAATTAATGTGTATATAATGAAAAAAACAGTATTAAGTAAAAATAAGTAAAAGATCAACTATATCTATATAACACAAAAGAAAAGTTCTTTCACAGAATGTTGAAAAAAATTAAAACAATGGTATAAAACAATGAAAAGCACATGAACAATTCACACAGTACGAGAATTAATAAACAATCATACACAAATATATTCAACATTTCTCTTTATCTTAAATAAAATAGCATTAAGAAAAGGTAAAATCTTATTCCTAAAATCTTAAAATCTTATTCCTAAAATCTTAAAATAATACCACTCAATGCTCAAAAGGCTGTGACGAAACTCCTATACTTATACAGTGCTGGTGTCATTACAAATAGGCACACCCCCGTTTTTTTTTAATAAATTTATTTTTTAAAGTTAATTTTATTGGAGTATAGTTAATTTACAATGTTGTGTTAGTTCCTGCTGTACAGCAAAGTGAATCAGTTATACATACACATATATCTACTCTTTTTTAGATTCTTTTCCTATGTAGGTCATTACAGAGTACTGAGAAGACTTCCCTGTACTATACAGTAGATCCTTATTAGTTATCTATTTTATATGTAGTAGTGTGAATATGTCGATCCCAATCTCCCAATTTATCCCACCCCATCCTTTCCCATGCTGATACCACATGGCACACCTCTTTAGTAGGCAATTTAGCAGTATGTTTCCAAGAGCCAAAAACTGTCCTAACCCTGTGATAGAAGAAAATAAAACTTTGGGACTGAGAAAAAAGCCAAAAGACAGAAAAGTTTATTTGTACCAAGATGTTCTTTGCAATATTAATTATCCAGGTAAACTTAGTTATAATTAAATAAATTAGAGCACAACAACCCAATGGAATATTAGAAAGCTATTAAAAATAAATACAAAGACTGCATCCAACACTGAAAAAAATGCTTATGTTAAGTTTAAAAAGTAGAATATACAATTTCATCAATGTTATTATTCAAATTACTCAAAACATCAGTATTTATGAACAAGGTGTAGAGAAGATCCTGGAAAAGAGAAATGTTTTTTGTTAGGATGTAAGGGTAATATATTTTCCTTGTAATTCTTCATTGCTATGTCAGTGTATGTGCAAGAAATAAAGTTTAAACACATCAAAATTAGGAAATAAATGTTGAAGCCACAAGTAAAATTGTAAACACTATCATTTCTGAGCATCATGTGGACTGCTAAAAACTGGTTTTCTGTATACATATCATAACAGGATAGATAAGATATGCTCACATCACAGACCATGGAATGTAAAAAAAAATGGAAGTTTATCACATTACCAAAACTCCCTAAACCTAGAATAATTTTATCTTATACTAATCATGGCCAATAGCAATACTAAACAGCAATATTTAATTTACTCATCAGTCAAATTTGATATGTATGGCTGCAAACATACATCTAAACAATTTATTACAAGTCATTAATAACTTACTATACTGAAGACTTTATCAAAACAAACCAAAAAAACGAAAACTCAACCTTCACTGAAAAAGTCCTATGAGGTACATACTATTATTATTCTCCTTAGCAGATAAGAAAACTGAAACCAGAGAGGTTAAGTGACAGAGCTGGAAATCCAACCTAGTTTTCTTGACTCCAAAGCCAAATTTTTGAAACCACACTACTCTATTAGCCTCAATTCTTAATCAGCTCTCATTTCCACAATTATAATTACCTTTTCACTCAAAAAATATTTACTGAGATCCTACTGAGTCATTTGGTATTTGGGGGCTTGGAGACACAACAGTAAAACAAAAGATTTTTAAATCCCTGTCTTTAAGGAGCTTACATTCTAGGTCAATGGTTCTTAACTGGGGGATGATATTGCCCCCAGGGGACATAAGATGATATATAGAGGCATTTTTAGTTGTCACAACTGGGGTAGCAGGGAGGAATGTGCTACTGGCAGCTAGTGGGTACAGGCCAGAGATGCTGCTGAACATCCTACGATGCACAGGAAAGCCACGCACAACAAAGAATTATCCGGTCCAAAACGTCAATAGTGCCAACCTATTCTAGAGGGAAGATAAAAAGAAATAAAACAGAATATGGTATCTACACATACATCTTACACTTACAACTGTACATTTCTTGAAAGAAGCTAAGCTTTATTCTTCTTCATATCCCTTGTAATACCCAACTTATACCTTGCCCGCAGCAGATATTCAAAAAATGATGAACAAAATAGAAATAAGGTAGTCATTTTCTATATTACTACTGGTCATAGCATAGTACATGAAATCTTCTTATAAGATGCAAACGGTTCAAACTAAACTTTTTCTCACCTTTGAAATCACATTCAGAAAGCATCAAATACACTACATCAGGATCCAGATCAGAAAACATCTCTGAGATACTGGTGAAGAGTTCTTCCTGATCAACTTTTGTCTCACACATGGAAGGAAGAGTAGTGGTTGGCTCCTCATGACTAGCAACGCTGGATACAACTTCCTTAGAGTTTGTAGTCTTCCGAAAAGGATTTCCCCCAAGATTTTTCCTTCTCCTTGGCATTCTGACTTCCAAAACTAAAATGTTTCCCTTCTCTTATTTAAGACATTTGATATTTAAGTCATACCTCAAAGAAAATAGGGTTAAATATCTTGCACAATCCAGCAGTAATAGGACCTAAAATAGAAAGCAAGTTGAAACACTCAGACTATAGTTATATTTCCATGTCTAAAATTGGAACGACATCTTTATTTAAGAAAGTACCATCAACTCTGGTGGCAGCAAAGCCAAAAAGCAGTCAAACAATTTCTCTCTCCAAAATATTCAAGTTTTTCAGGATTGAACATGTTAAAAATTAAGATATTAACAAATGCAATATATTTTCAGAACAATGAGTATACTGTTTTAGTACAATTATTTCATTTTTAAAACAAAAACAGTATTCATAATGAGAATGCCTACTGAACACCTATTTGGATGTCCAATAGGCATCATAAGCTTAACATGTCCAAAACTGAGCTCCTGATCACCTACTTCATACCTGTTCTTCCTAGTCTTTCCTATCTCAATTAATGCAACTCTATCCTTCCAACGGCTCAGGTCAAAAACCTTGGAATAATCCTTGACTCCTGTCCAGCCCACATCCAATCAGTAAGCCAATTTTGTCAATGCAACCCTCAAAATGTATCCAGAATACGATCATTCCTCACCATTTCCACTGCTACCACAGCGGATTAGTATAAAAGTCTCCTAACTAATCTCCTTGCTTCCACCCTTGCCCCTTCAGTCATAACAACTAGAGTGACTCAGTTAAACCACAGGTTCAGATCATGCCTCTCTTCTGCTAAACTATCCACTAGCTTCCCATCTCATTCAGGATAAAAGCCAGAGCCCTTAAAAGGGCCTATAACGCAGACACTTTTTACTTCTGTTCTGTCATCCCTAATCCTCTTTCCCTTGCTCATGTCACTCCAGCCATACTTCGCCTCCTTCTTCTTCAAACATCAGCCATGCTCCCATCTCAGAACCTTTACATTTGGTCCCTTCTACCTAAACTAATATTATCCCAGGTATCTAAAAGATGTATTTCCTCCTATCATTAGTCCTATCATTACTCAGTTGTTACCTTCTCAGCAAGTCAGTCGCCCAACACCACTTATCCCTTTTTCCTTACTTGAATTTTCTCCCTACGATTTACCTTCTAACATAGTGTATGCTTTATCCATTTGTTTTATTTATGTATTGTATTTACTACCCATATTCTAGTAAAATGTAAGCTCCACAAGGGCAGGGACTGATAGATCTGGAGAACTTTGACAATCTACTTGCTTTCTCCACTTGGATCTATTTAATAAACAATTCAAATGTAACACACCTAAAACCAAATGTCTGATATTTTCTCAAAAACCTGCTCTAACCATTTGGTCTGGCTACTGTCATCTTTCACCTGTATTCCTGTCTCCTAAATGGCCTCCCTGTTTCCACCCTTTGTCCCCTACAGTCTACTTTCAACACACCAGCCAGAATGATCTTCATACAACATATAAGTCAGAATGAATCAGGGTCTGCTTTAAATTCTCAAGTGGCTCTCCATGTCACTCAGAGTAAAAGCTAAAGTTCTTACTATGGCCCGTCTCCCTCTTGGCCTTTAATATACTTTTCCCCAAGATATTTGTATTGCTAACTCTCTCACTCCTTCAAATCTTTGCCCACGTGTCACATTCAATGATTTCTTCCTTGATTACCCAATTTAAAGTCATATCACCCACTTTCTCTGCCCCAATTTCCCTTTCCTGCTAACCACCCATTGCCCTTAACACCTTCTAACATACTATAAAATTTACCTTTTAATCAAATTTATTGTGTCATAGCTCTCTCCATCTTCCAGGACTGCAATGTCAATATGGCAGCCACCAGCCACATGAGCCTATTTAAATTTAAATTAATTAAAATTATATTTTTACATATTAATATCAGATAAAGTAGAATTCAGAGCAAAAAAAAAATCAGCAGAGATAGAGGACATTATATAATCATAAAGGATCAGTCTACCAAGAACACGTAGCAACTCTAAATGTGCATGCACCAAACAACAGAGCCACTAAGTAAGTGAAGCAAAAACTGACAAAATTGAAAGGAGAAAGAGACAAGCTCACAATTATAGTTAGAGACTACAATACCCCTCTCTCAATAAGAGTAAATAGACAGAAGATCAGCAAGGATACTGAAGCACTCAATAACACCATCCTTTAAGGATCTAATCAACATTTATAGAACACTACATTCAACAACAGCAGAATACATATCCTTTTCAAGTGCCCAAAGAACATATACCAAAATAGACCATACCCTAGGCTATAAAACAAACCTCAACAAACTTAAAAGAACTGAAATCATATAAAGTATGTTCTCTGACCACAATGTAATCAAACTAGAAATCAATAACAAAAAGATAACAGGAAAATCTCCAAACACTTGGAGCATAAGCAATATACTAAATAATTCATGGGTCAAAGAGGAAGTCTCAAGGAAAATTTTAAAATACACGGAAATGAATAAAAATGAAAATATATGACATCAAAATTTGTAGGACACAGCTAAAGCAGCAATGGCAGAAATTTATAGCAAATTTATAACTAAATGCATACATTAGAAAAGAGGAAAAGTCTCAAAACAATAATCTAAGCCCCCATCACAAGAACATAAAAAAGAGAAAAATAAACCCAAAGCCAGTAGGAAAAAGGGAATAATAAAGATCAGAGAAGAAATGAATAAAACTAAAAACAGAAAAACAACCACTACAGACCCTGCAGACATCAAAAGACTAATAAGGGGGCTTCCCTGGTGGCGCAGTGGTTGAGAGTCTGCCTGCCAATGCAGGGGACACGGGTTTGTGGCCCAGTCCGGGAAGACCCCACGTGCCGCGGAGCAGCTAGGCCCGTGAGCCATGGCCGCTGAGTCTGCACGTCCGGAGCCTGTGCTCCGCAACAGGAGAGGCCACAACAGTGAGAGGCCCGCGTACCACAAAAAAAAAAAAAAAAGACTAATAAGGGAATATTATAAACAAATGTACATGTGAAAGTTTGACATCTTCTATGAAGTAGACTTATTTCTCAAAAACCACAAATTATCAAACTCACCCAACAGGAAATAGATAAAAGCTCTATGATTTTTAATGAAATTTAATTCACAATTTACAAATTCCCAAAAAAGAAACTCCAGGCCCAAATACCTTCAATGGAGAAGTTTACCAAACACTTTTAAGAAGAATTAACTAACCCTATATAATCTCTTCCAAAAATGGAAGAGGGAACCTTCTTAATTCACTTAATTCACAGATAAAAACAATACTGAAAAAAAAAAAAAATACTGAAGCCAGTATTGTTATCCTGACACCAAAATCAGACAAAGCCAGTTAAAAAAGGAAAAACGAACCTGCAAACCCATATACTTCCTGAATACAGACATAAAAATCCTTAACAAAATATTACAAATAGAATTCAGCAATTTATTTTAAAAGAATTATATACCATGATCAAGCGAGGTTTATTCCAGGGATACAAGGCTGGCTCAATGTTTAAAAATCAGTATCCCACCCATATTAACAGGCTAATGAAGAAAAACCACAATTGTATCAATGAACAAAGAAAAAAAGTGACAAAATTCAACACCCATTCATGATAAAAGGTACCCAAAAAATAGGAATATAAGAGAACTTCCTCAACTTGACTAAGAGCATCTACAAAAACTCTACAGATAACATTTTATTTAATAGTAAAATACTATATGCTTTCCTCCTAAGACTGAGAACAAAGCAAGGATGTCTACCCTCACCACTCTTATTAAAGATAATGCTGGAAGTTCTAGCCTGTGAAGTAAGAGAAGGTAAAGAAATAAAAGACATACCGATTCAAAAGGAAAAAATAAAACTGTCCCTATTTGTAGATGACATAGCTATCTATGTGGAAAATCCCAAAGAACTGACAAAATCTCCAACATATAAGTGAATTCAGCAAAGTGCAGGATACAAGATAAACACACAAAAGCAACTGTATTTATATATTCTACCAATGAATACATGGGCACTGTAATTTACAATACAATATGACTCACAAATGCTCCAAAAAATGAAATATTCTGATATAAATCTAACAAAACATATACAAGGCTTGTATGCTAAAAATACAAAATCATGATGAAAAATATCAAAAATGTAAATGAATGGATTCATGGGCTGTTAGACTCAATACAGTAAAGATGTCAATTCTCCCCAAATTGATACACAGGTTTAACTCAATTCCTATCAAAACCCCAGCAAAGATTTTTTGTGGATATGGACAAGATTATTCATAAATTTAAATGGAAAGACAAAGGAACTAGAATAGTTAAAACAATTTTGAAAGAGAATAGAGCAAGAGGAATCAGTCAACTCAATTATTAAGACGTGTTATAAAGCTAAACTTATCAAGACTATATGGTATCAGGGGAGGGACAGACATATAGATCTGAGAACAGATTATAGATTTGGAAACAGGCAAGAGAACCCAGAAATAGACCAGCATGAATATGCCCAACTGACTTCTGACAAAAGTGCAAAAGCAATTCAATAGAGAAAATATAGCCTTTTCAATAAATGGAACTGGAGCAAGTAGACGTCCACAGATAAAAAAAATAAACCTTGACCTAAGTCTCACACTTTATTAAAAAAAAAAAAAAAACTCAAAATGGTTCAAGGAGGGAACTCTGCTCAATGTTATGTGGCAACCTGGATGGGAGGGGAGTTGGGGGGAGAATGGATACATGTATATGTATGGCTGAGTCCCTTTGCTGTGCACCTGAAACTATCACAACACTGTTAATCAGCTATACTCCAATATAAAATAAAAAGTAAAAAAAAAAAAAAAAAAGGAATAAAGGATTTAAATCAATAAAACTATAAAACTTTTAGAAAGAAAAAAAAAGAAGAAGAAAATCTTCAGGATCTAGGCTAGGCAAAAACACCAAAAGTATGATCCATAAAAGGAAAAACTGATAAACTGTACTTCATCAAAATTTAAAACTTTTGTTCTGTGAAGAACCTTGTTAAGAGGATGAAAAGAAAAGTGACAGACTGAGAGAAAATGCTTGCATACCATGTATCTAACATAGGACTAGTATCTAAAATATATAAAAGAACTTTATCAAAACTCAAAAGTAAAAGCAGGGACTTCACTGGTGGCACAGTGGTTAAGAATCCACCTGCCAATGCAGGGGACACGGGTTTGAGCCCTGGTCCAGGAAGTTCCCACATGCCGCACAGCAACTAAGCCCATGTGCCACAACTACTGAGCCTGTGCTCTAGAGGCCACAAGCCACAATTACTGAGCCCACACACCACAACTACTGAAGCCCGCGTGCCTAAAGCCCATGCTCTGCAACAAGAGAAGCCACCAAAATGTGATGCACGTGCACCACAACGAAGAGTAGCCCCCGCTCGCCGCAACTAGAGAAAGTCCACACGCAGCAATGAAGACCCCACGCAGCCAAAAATAAATACATTTTTTAAATAAATAAATAAATTGATTAATTAAATCAGAGGGGGAAAAAATAACAAATAATTCAGTTAGAAAATGGGGGGAAAAAACATTACACCGAAAGGATATCCAGATGACAAATAGGCACATAAAAGATTTCAACATCATTAGCCATTAAGTAAATGCAATTTAAAACTACAATGAAATATTACTTACACATCTATTAAGTTGGCTAACATAAAGAATAATGACAACGCCAAATCCTGGCAAGGATGCAGAGAAGCTGGATGGCTCATATGCTGCTGATGGGAATGTAAAATGGTAAAGCCACTCTGGACAAGAGTTTGGCAGTTTCTTAAACTAAACCTGCAACTACCATACAATTAAGCAATTGCACTTCTGGGTGCTTATCTCTAAGAAATGAAAAATTACGTTCACCCCAAAACTTGCACACAAATGTCTGTAGCAGCTTTTATTCATTATAACCAAAAACTAGAAAACAGTTCAGATGCCCTTCAATGGGTAACATGGTTAAACAAACTATGTTACTTCCATTCATGAAGTACTAGTCAGCAATAAAAAGAAAATATACTATTGATACACAAGACCTGGATGAAATTCCAAAGAATTATGCTGAGTACAAAAAGTCAATCCCAAAAGGCTATATACTGAATGGTCCCCATTTATTTAACATTCTTGAAATGACAAAATTATAGAAATAGAGAACAGATTAGCGGTTGTCAAAGGTTAAGGAGGAGGAAGGAGAGGGTAGTAGTAGGTGTGGCTATAAAAGGGTAATTTGAGGGACTCTTGTGGTGATGGAAATGTTCTATATCTTGACTGTATTAACGTCAATATCCTGGTTGTGATGCCATACTAAGTTTTGCAAACATGCTTCTTTTATTGAGGGAACTGGGTGAAGAGCACAGGAGATTTCTCTGTATTATTTATGACAGCTGCATGTGAATCTACAATCTCAAAAAGTCTAATTTTGAAAAAGAGGATGTAAAATTAAAAATTCAGTTCCTCAGTCACACTAGTCACATTTCAAGGGCTCAATAGCTACATGTAGTTAATGACTATCATACTGCACAGTGAACTTTTCCATAATTCTACTGGACAGCACTGTTCTAGAATATAAGTTCCATTGGGCAAGTGAATATCCCATTTTAGGAAGTTAAGAAGCTTTATATACAGAAAAGTACAAATTGAAGGTCATAAAGAAAAAGAAGTACTACCACATCTAGCCACATTTAAATTTAAATACCTGTATATCAAAAAAAAAAAAAAAAAAAAAGGGCTTCCCTGGTGGCGCAGTGGTTGAGAGTCCGCCTGCCGATGCAGGGGACACGGGTTCGTGCCCCGGTCCGGGAAGACCCCACATGCCATGGAGCGGCTGGGCCCGTGAGCCATG